TAAATACTTTTTTTCCCCACTGTATATGTTCATTTGTTTAACACTTTTTTGGTTACTACATGATTCCATATGTGTTATTTCATAGTTTTGATGTCTTCACTATTATCCGACAATGTAGAAAATAGTAAAAAATAAAGAAAAACCCTGGAATGAGTAGGTGTGTCCAAACGTTTGACTGGTAATATTTCTGACACCTGTTGCAATGTCAGTGATGTCAGCAAATATGATGAATCTGTCCACAATGTGACAGAGACATGCAGCCAGCTCCTCAAACCGTCTGAGACATCTGTTGAGACAAATTGAAAACAGTGTAATAACAACAATGATAAATACACATTTGTTAATGCAATATACATGACAAAAGAGCTATGATATTTCAACAATACAGCTCTGGAAATAATTAAGAGACCACTGCAAAATTATCAGTTTCTCTGGTTTTACTATTTATAGGTATGTGTTTGGGTAAAAATATCATTTTTGTTTTATTCTATAAACTACTGACAACATTTCTCCCAAATTCCAAATAAAAATATTGTCATTTAGAGCATTTATTTGCAGAAAATGACAACTGGTCAAAATAACAAAAAAGATGCAGTGTTGTCAGACCTCGAATAATTTAAAGAAAATAAGTTCATGTTCATTTTTAAACAACACTAATGTTTTAACTTAGGAAGAGTTCAGAAATCAATATTTGGTGGAATAACCCTGATTTTCAATCACAGCTTTCACGTGTCTTGGCATGCTTTCCACCAGTCTTTCACATTGATGTTGGGTGACTTTATGCCACTCCTGGCGCAAAACTTCAAGCAGCTCGGCTTTGTTTTGAAGGCTTGTGACCATCCATCTTCCTCTTGATCACATTCCAGAAGTTTTCAATGGGGTTCAGGTCTGGAGATTGGGCTGGCCATGATAGGGTCTTGATCTGGTGGTCCTCCATCCACACCTTCATTGACCTGGCTGTGTGGCATGGCGCATTGTCCTGCTGAAAAAAACAATCCTCAGAGTTGGGGAACAATGTCAGAGCGAAAGGAAGCAACTTTTCTTCCAGGACAACCTTGTACTTGGCTTGATTCATGCGTCCTGCACAAAGACAAATCTGCCCGATTCCAGCCTTGCTGAAGCACCCCCAGATCATCACCGATCCTCCAAATTTCACAGTGGGTGCGAGACACTGTGGCTTGTAGGCCTCTCCAGGTCTCCGTCTAACCATTAGACGACCAGGTGTTGGGCAAAGCTGAAAATTGGACTCATCAGAGAAGATGACCTTACTCCAGTCCTCTACGGTCCAATCCTTATGGTCTTTTGCAAACCTCAGCCTAGCTTTTCTTTGCTTCTCATTGATGAAGGGATTTTTTCTAGCTTTGCACGACTTCAGCCCTGCCCCTAGGAGCCTGTTTCGAACCGTCCTCGCCGTGCACTTCACCCCAGCTGCCATTTGCCATTATTTTTGTAGGTCACTTGATGTCATCCTACGGTTGTTGAGTGACATTCGAATGAGTTGGCTGTCATCCAGGTCAGTAGAGAGTCGTTTTCGCCCTCTGCCGGTCTGTAGCTTTGTTGTCTCCAATGTCTGCTGCTTGACCTTGTTCTTATGAACCGCCGTCTTTGAAATTTTAAGGATGGAAGCAACCTGACGCTCACTGTATCCCTTTGCCAGTAAAGCCAGAATTGAACCCTTCTTTTCCTCACTCAAAACTTTCCTTTTCAACTCTTTTGGCATGGTCAATAGTTATTTTTTGATTAATATTACTTTTGAGGTACTATTAGCACTGTTTTTGTCATCCAGCTGGTCCTATTGCAAGAGGATAGTGATGACCACAGCAGTGGTTTTTATACTTTTCCTCGTTAAATAAGATTTGGTTCAGATGATCACCTAATCAGTACCTAATTCAGTAGAATGAGGTGTGCCTGTGTTGGAATTCAACAGACACTGGAATGGAATGGCTGTCATACATGTAGAGATGCTGATTTAAGAAAAATGTGCAGTGGTCTCTTAATTTTTTCCAGAGCTGTATATATAAAAATATATATATTACAGGGTAAACCAATTGTAAAGGTATAATTTCATTGTTTTCTAGAATAAGTTCTCAGATGTGTTGGACATTTTCAAGCATTTCATTTTTACTTATACACCACTAGCTAGCTAGCTAAATAGCTAGCTAGGAGTCCAAGTAATGTTCAACATTACGCAGACTCATTAATATCAAATTATGTAGATATATTTACCATTTGTATGTGACATGAATCTCATCCACAACAATCCCCATGAGGTTCTCTCGATACAATGTTGATGGAAGCATATTCTGCCACTTGTCGTTCAGCAACCAAGACTCTGGGCTACCGAAAAGAACCTGGCAACGTCCATGGAGGATGTGCTCATCATTATTTACACCAAGCTGCATAGCAGTGATCCCCAGCGCGTCGCAGCCTTTCTGATCTGGTCCTCCATGGAGGGTGACCAATGGCGACAACAACAAGAATTGGGTTCTTGATCCGTCCCATTTTCTTGACAACCAGTGGAGCTAGCTGGTAAATCAAGCTCTTCGCGAACCCAGTCGGGAGAAGAGCGAAAAGCCTTCAATGCAGTTATGCCCTCCAGTTCCAACACCAACCTCCTCAAGAGCAGCCATTGTTGTTATGGTTTTCAACTTCTGTGCCCAGTTCTCGTTGTAGTCATCAAATCAACCACCCCTACAGATTATTAGAGGACGGAAGGGAAACATTCAAACTGTTTGAATCTGGTTGTGGTCAGACTGTATCCGTGTAGTGAAACAGAATATAAGCTTGCAAGATCAGGATGGTTCGTACGAGGCTACAGAGGACCGCCTGGAGTTTGATAAATGGCATTGGCACTTGGATTGGAACCGGTGCTATGGTCAGATGACATGAAAATAGAGTTCTTAGGCCACGCACACCAGTGGTGGGTTTGGTGTTGAAAAACAGAAGCATATACAGAAAAGTACCTCATACCTATGGTAAAATATGGTGGTGGCTCTTTGATGTTATGGGGCTATTTTGCTTCCATTGGTCCTGGGGCCATGAACTTTACCAAGACATAACAGCCAAAAACCTGGTTGCCTCTGCCAGGAGGCTGACACTTGGCCGCAAATGGGTCTTCCAGCAAGACAATAACCCCAAGCACTAATCAAAATCCACAAAGAAATGGTTAATTGACCACAAAATCTACATTTCAAGTCTCCCCCATTGAAAACCTGTGTTGTGAATTGAAAAGGGCAGTCCATAAAAGCAGACAAAGGATATCAAGGATCTGGAAAGATTCTGTATGTAGGAATGGTCTAAGATTCCTCCCAATGTGTTCTCCAATCTCAAAACATTTTAGAAAAAGACTCAGTGTCGTTATCGTCGCAAGGCGAGGGTGCTAGAGTATTGAAAACAGGGATGGCAATAATTCTGACCTGTACCTTTTTGAGATTTTTTTGTATGACTTGTTTGACAAAACCTCTTTCTCTGTGCAATTGTATTAGTAGAAAATAATATAATTGAAAAAAGAATTGGAGCATACAATATAGCTCAGCATTTGTATTATTTATTTTATAAAGTGTTTTTTGCTTTTTATCAAGGGTGCCAATAAACCCAACTGTTTATTGTTCAAGACACAGACCCGTGTGGTTAGTTGCCCCTGCACCTCTCTGATTCAGAGGGGTTGGGTTAAATGCGGAAGACACATTTCAGTTGAATGCATTCAGTTGTACAACTGACTAGGTATCCCCCTTTCCCTTTCCCAGTGGCTTGACATACAGTAAAACCACACTGAATCCATCCGTTGTCCATCCCTTAAAATAGCATGTTGTTTAGGGTGAGAAACAGTGCAACTAGCATTGTGGAACTTGAACTAGTGAACTTGTACTCAGAGATCCATTTCGGAACTAAGGAGTAATCCATGCTGACTAGCTTGTCTCCAGACTCATTACCAGTAATGTTTTGATTATGGTGGCGTTTTTAACCATATCCTACAGCTGCTTTTGAGCTTTTGCTTACAGTTCAAGCCTCAAGGTTTTCAGAAGAAAACTAGGCTAAGTCTGCTGCTTACATAAACATGTGATTATGCCAACCATGACATCACCGAACAACAATCAACCTCCTAACCTAAAGGATATGACTCAATCGCACAAAACTGCAAAGGACCAGACCATTGTAATGGTTTATACTGCATGTGGTTTCTCTTCTATGGCTTCATAGTCTCCCCATAGTAGGCTTCTGATCACAACGAGGACTTCTGAAAAATGGTTTAAAACATGGGGAGACTTTGCAATGTATAATTGAATTAACTGCATAAAAAACTGTCAATCATCAACAATTTCTATGAAATTGATTTTGTGCCAACAATGCTCACTACGCTAAATATACATTTAATTTTAAACCGGTTGAAACAGATCAACACCTCCGGCTGAAACACCTCAGTCTTACACAATGGCCTTTTCCATTCTAGTCTAATTTATGAGTCTAGGTTGAGCAGTAGAATACTGCAGCCTATGTAGACCCAGCCATCATCTGCATGCATTCAAACCAGTGCACACCGAACAAGAGGATGGTTTTAAGCAGCTCTGAGCTCTGGTCTAGTATCTTTTGGCAGCTGATCAGAGGGTTGGGGACTGGGGCTTCCTGGCTGGGAGCAGAAGCAGGAATGGAGGCCAAGAGAGAGAGCGAGATGAGAGAGAGAGAGAAAGAAAGAAAGCGAGAGAGAAAAAGAGAGAGATGGAAAAGGAGAAAGAGAGAGAGAGGCAGAGGAGAAAGAGAGAGGGGGAGAAAGAGAGGGGAAGAGAGGGATAACGAGAGAAAGAAATAAAGCGATGGAGAGAGATAAAGAGAGAGAGATAAAAGAGAGTTAAAAACATAAGACATTATAAAAACATCAAGTAAAAATCACAGATTTCTTTCATCATACAGGGATGCAGCTTTACTGTTAATTTCTGATTGTTTATTTTACTTTCGTTTATTATTTAGAGCGAGAGAGAGAAAGAAAGAGAAAGAAAGAGTGTCTAGTCTGGTGCCCTTGTGGAGTGGAGGGTAGAAAACAGAGAGAGGAGGAGAGAAACCGAGAGAAAGGAGAGCCTGGCCGGGCAGCGTCTCTGAAAGCCTGGACATCCTGCCTTTCCTTTCCCAGCCAGGGTTCTCTGGACTTGGCCACATTTCCACAAAGCTGCTGCCCTGAGAAAACAAACCAGGCACTGTGGGACTCCCATCTATGATATGTCTGTGGAAAATGTGGCCAGAGTCTATCAACAGGTTGGCTTAGTTATTTCTCAACAGCTTATAATTCAGTTTACATGGGCTTCCTTCTCTGACCGACCGCATTCCATAACCTGTGGGGGTTTAGCTACTAAATCATGGTACTGTATCTCATGCTCACTACATGGCTAACTAATGCAATGAGAAGCCCCAATGCAAACTTTAGTCATCGTAACACCTTCAAGAGAAATATATTGCAGTAAGCTAATGAATTAAACTTTGTATAAAATACTGTTGGGGTTGATAAATAAAAAATAAATTCCACTTTTAAGAAAGTTTATTTTTACAAAACCTAACAAACCATCTGTAAGGTATTTGTTCATATAACATCTTCATAACACATTCATTACCAAATGGCATGTTTTACGCTACATGTACTTTTCACTCTTAAGATATGGCATTAGCTCATGACAGATTTCAGGAGCAGTCTGGCTAATGTCACTTCGATTAAGTCAAAAGGTGAACTAAATGCTTCACAATGGCTTCATGAATGCGTTGTCCTGTGAAGTCTGGCAGTTGCAAGACACCATAGAGAGGACAGGACAAGCAAGGCAAGAGACATGGAGTGTCTCCATCGTGGAGTGGCCTGAGAGTGTAGTGTATCTGACAGCATTTTCTGACACAGTGAGAGAAAGAGAGGACTGTTACTGACAGCTCTCCTGCAGTGGTGAGAGAGAGAGAGAGAGAGAGAGAGAGAGAGACTCATATTTCCCTGTGCTCTGGTCTACTCTACAGAGTAAACAAAGGTTTGGAATAAAAGGCATCAGTGGTCCGGTGTATTTGGGAGTGTTGGATTACAGGATATTTATATCGCATAGGAGAGGGCAAGGCGGCAGGTGGTGGGTAACTTTAAAATACACATACCCTCAGCTCCAGAATAAACAATAGGCCTACCTGGGCTGCATTAGCTCTGTATACTGTACTGTGCAAAACCAATAGGCTATATTGTCAGTTAGCCCTCACTTAATTGGCCATGTTAGGTAACAAGTAGATTACCAGTCCTCAAGATAGAAAACATTCATCTGAAGTGATGAGGTCTGTGAAAGGAACTAGGCCACAGCTTACCAGCTGTTGCCTTCTTGTAAAATAAGATCATATCTATAGGCCTACATCTCCATACCTGGCAAGTAGTCATGGTGGGACTGCATCTGTATGGGGGAGAAAAAGACACCCTTTTCTTCCTTCTGGGCATGCCTTTACTTGTTTGATCTCTCATACGGTTTCAGTGCAATCCCTAACATGTTTTACGTTATTTAAGGACTCATGCATCATACTGTTAAGGCAGGCTAATCTAAATTATGCCACAATGGTTAACCTTTTCCACCTAATCCTGCTGATATGCAACATTGATTCCACTTGAATCAATTGGCCACTGCATGTGGATTGGTGTATTATTGAATCTCGGCACACAAGTGTGTAAATTGCTCATGGATGAGATACAGTTTCACAAATCTGAGGGCACTTTGTCTTTGCTGTTTGTCTCTTTATTTTTATTTAACCTGTCTTTAGCAGTACACTGACTAAGACTTATGATGCCCTTTGAGCAGCCATAGTACAAAATGTGACAGGAGGAACCCGTGCTATTATTTAAATTATCTCTGTTGATAAACGTTAACCTAGCCCAGCCCAGCCCAGCCCAGGTCTGTGGATCATGTTTCTTGGCTTCACTCAACAAAGACCTTAATCAAGATAACACTTTCCTGTTGCAACACTGTAGCCTGTAGTGTACTGTTGACACTATTGGGTTGCAATATTGTAGCATATGACATGATGCCTAATTTGTGAGAGCGCAGTGTAAACATTGCCTGTGTGGGCTTCTGTGTCAGTACACTATACCCAATATGGGCAACATTGACATACATAACAGTCAGTATAAACTCCTTCACACGTCATGAATGTAAACACTAACGTTACATGATGCAGAGATCTACAGTTACCTTGATCTCTGCAGCTCTAGTACCGAGTTGGCGATCTGTCCTCCCTCCAGACAGCAGCCCTGGGAAGCCTGCCTGAAGTAGGCAGCAGGCGCAACTCCCTGAGTGTAGGTCTGAAGCCTGCCTCTAGTCGCGGCTGGTACTGCAGAGAAGGGCGAACTGAAAATTGAATGGCCGAAAGCATCCCCTTCCGGATCTGTACATGCTGGAGCTGCAGCGGCGGGACCAATCCCAAAACTGGCTCGGGTGTTAGCAATCAGAGCCTGGTTCGCAATAGCAAGCGCCTGGGCGGCCGTCGTGGGGTTCGCTACCGCAGCGCCACTGCCAGCCACGTACAGCGGGCGCTCTGCAGCGGTAACCAGGCTCTGTCTAGTCCTGGCCTCAACTGAATTATCCTCTTCGGTCTGATTGTCGGCATCATCTTGCACGGGTCGACCATCCAAAGAAATGTTACTGAGAAAAGAGAGCGCGGCTTGTCTCCTCCGAGGGTCTATGCGTTTCCGCGTATGCTCGATGTTGGAATGCTTGATCTGAAGCGTGGTTGTGGATGTATTGCTGCTCGTGGCAGCCGCCATGGTCCGCTTTCAGCGATACGAAGCGGCGAGCAGCGGTTTTGTCAAGATGACATTAACAGTGTGTAAAGAGTGCTTATGTAGTTAGCAAATGTCAAAGGCTTGTCTTTTAAGTGCAAGCGTTAAACTGACTAAAACACAGGATGGTCACGTGTGTGCAGTATTGTGGATTGTGGCAGCAGAATTTTTTTTGACCAATAGGGTTCAGGGATACGTATGAAAGGTTTTTTTCCACCCCTATGCTATGGAATTACTTTTGTGCCTTTAATATCAAGCAAACCTTTTCAATTCGTGAAAAAAATTCTTATTGCAAACAAAAATAATGATACTGAAAGCAAAACATTAACCCAAAAGTATTGAGATTAAAATAAATAAGGAAATCATTTTGAAAGGCAAGAACAAATAAATTGTAAATGAATGCAAAAATGCAAAAGAAAAATTGTTTTCAGTTCAACATTTTCAATGATTGCGATGAAACGCTTCCCTCTTTGCCTGCAATTTTCTATCTTTGGTTAAGTTACCCTGCCTTTATTGCGTTTTCAAAGTTGGCACATTCATTCCATGTAGGCGGGGTTTAGATGGAGGCATAGATGATGCGTCTCTATTGGTCAACTGGTTTTGGAGTGACAGTTCATCCTAGATTTTTGTTATTTATCTGATTAAAAAACATGTATTTAACTTTTCCATTTAGGATAAAAAGGGCTCAGTGGCTACTTGCTAGCTAGTTAATGTTACCTTTACAACAAGAAGGACATCGGGGAAACACCCTAACTAGCTAGCTATCACAGCCAGCAAGCAAGATATGATGCACTGGTTACTCTAGTGGTACAGTATGTGGTTATTCGAGAACAAGGACCTAACATTTGTTTAAAGGGTGAATTGGCTCTGGAAGCCAAAACAGCCAAATACTCCATCTAAACATGAATCGATTCTCAATTGCGGTACGGTTCTAGAAACGTAAATCCCTCTACTTTCATATCACATCAAAATAAATTCACTTACAGAGGAGGCTGGTGGGAGGAACTAAAGGAGGAATGGGCTCATTCTAATGGCTGGAATGGAATAAACTAAATGGAGTCAAACGTGGTTTGATGCGTTTGCTACTGTTCCATTAATTCTATTCCAGTCTTTACAATGAGCCCATCCTCCTATTGCTTCTCCCACCAGCCTCCTCTGGTGTACACTGTTTTCCTAGGTGTGAGAAATATTCAGAAGGGCATGAGACAAAGGAATGTGTAGCATTGGGGAAAGTAGTGGTTTGTGTTAATTGTAGGGGTGCCCATGGGGCTGGGGATCAGAAATGTCCCGTGCGAGAGAGGCAGGTTGAGGTTTCCAGGGTTAGAGTAGTGCAGAAGTTGTAATATGCTGAGGCAGTGAAGAAAGTAGAAGAAGATGGGTAAAGGGGGAGGGATCCTGAGAGGAGTGGTGTGAGTAATATATTGTACCAGTACAGAGGGATAGGGCAACAAGTGATATAAGTTTCAGTAAGATTGGAGATTTAGCATTTATAGCAATGGTTATCAACTGTACTGCAGGGATGGAACGTAAGTCGCAGAAAATTGAGGTTGTGGTGGCAGCTGCAGAGAGGTATTTGGGTGTGCAATACTTTCAGGTTGTTGGCCTGAGGTAGGACTAAATAGATTTAAATAGTGGAGTAGGGTGGTGTTATTTATTTTTTATTTTTGTGAGTGTAGTGTTAGATTGTAGGGTTTTTGTTTATTTATGTATTTTTTCAAGCAAAGTATAAGAGAGTTGTACTCCAGTCTAGTAGGTGGCGGTAATGCAACATTTATTGTATGCCAACTGCCGTAAAACCTCACCGAAGAAGAAGAAGAAGAAGAAGAATGCAGCCAACATTAATTTTAATTGACAACGCGTTTGGAGACACAGATAGTTAAGTAGCACAGGTAGCACTCTGTCTACTGTCTGTTTTCAATAAACAAGCGCTGTAGAATGGAAAAATAGCAGCGTGGAAACCCTAACCCTATAAAAGTGTGTATCAATTTAACCTTTAGTTTATTTTTTATTATTTCTTGCCGATCCTTATGCTTCCAAAACCGTACCGCAAGCAATGCGTGTTAATGTTCAGACCGAACGTCGCGGCTCTTAACAAAATACTCTCCTACAGTCTTTGTCCAATGACTTTTATGTGTAATGGAATGGAATTGAGAGTCATGATCAAGGCTAGCCCTTCTCATCACTCCAGTGCTGTATGGCCTTGGGTTTTCGAGAGTTATGTCACTACTATCTGAAAGCTTTTCATCAGAGTTTGATTGTACTATAGACTATTTTCTTTTGCATTTGTTGATTTTTTTGTGTCTTGGCTCTCACACTGGCTGTGTGTGTGTGCATCTCTGTCCTGTCTGCCTGCCTAGCTGTCTTGTCTGTCTGTCTGTTTAGGAGTTCCAGATGTGGCTATAAGAGAGTGGTGGCAGACAACAGTGGAGGGTATCTTCACTGAGTAGTGAGCACATGTAGGAGCTCATTATCATGAAGTTAATCTACAGGTATACCAGCTGATACAAGTAGGTATCCTATATTAGGTAGGTGTACTACTACTTGATATATATAGGAGGTGGCGGTTGCAAGCACAAAGGTAGATAATATCTACAGTATCTAACTATGGTTGCAAGTCATTAACAATGAATTACTTGGCACTGATTCTCCCTGTAGGCAGTAGCAATATGAGTTTGTTACTGCGTCAGTTGCATCCTGATTCTCCACTCTTCTCCCAAAGTGTGCACTTGCACACTTTTCTTGCAAGGATTTAGCCATGCTGGAAACTCCATGCTGCTAATGCTTACACACCTATCCTATGCTTTTTAAATCCATGTCGTGGAGTGTGCAAGGGCACACTTCAGGAGAAGTAGGTCGTAGCCCTTGTGTGCTCACTCAACCACCTCTATGCCTTGTAGCTGAAGCCTACAGCAATATTCCGATTTAAGTGCTACTCTACGGCATGGTAGTGTTTACAGTAGAGTTAAAATTGAATTTTATTCTTATTGTAGTTTCATCCCCCACCAATGAGTTCTTGTAAGTGACATTTTGTTTGTTGTAAGTCAAGTTTCTGTTTACAAACAGTAGTGAGTTATTATATCCCACAGGGGACAATACCAGAGACTCTGTAAGGGCGCTGGTTATCAATGATATGGACTGGAATCAGTCTGATTCTTCTGAGTTCCTGTTGTCTGAAGGGTTGAACAATTATTTTTTTGAAAGAAAAGCCTTTTCTATATTAGCTTATTTGCTCCAGTCCAGATCTGACATTGTGCCTTTCAACTAATCTATTTTGTGTTCCAACCCTTAGGAAACTATGAGAAGGGAGGAGTTCAGCTGACTAACGTCATTGCTGTGTGCAGGAAACCCCAGCAGCTCCTTCAGCAGACAGCCCCTTCCTGTCTTCCAGATGCTGCTGACAAAGCTGCCCTCCATCAGCCAGGTGAGGATGCTCTCCCATGGGAAGCAAGGGCTAAAGTGGCACCAAAATGGCTGAAAAAGGACTTTGTGCCCTAAACCCCCTTCTTCTAATGGTCTGCACGTTTTAACTCCCCTTTATGGATTTAAGGCAATGGATTGCTACAACCATGGTTGGGGGGGGGGGTTCTGCCATATTCCTTACACCAACAGTTCATTCCTTTTAAGCCCATGAGGGGGATTGTATGAATGCGTACTTCGGTTTAGGGGTAGAGGGTCGGCTTGTACCCTTCCTCCCAAAGTGTGCACTAATTCAGTGTTCCTCATTCTTGGCCCTGAAGGGCATCAGTGTGTAAATAGTGATCCCTACCTGTGCTAGAACACCTCATTTAACTACAATAAAACCATACTTGGGGAAATTGAGTGAATTAATGGTTGTTGTGACAACATGCATTATCCCAGAGCATACAGTTATCGTGAACAATAAAATAAAATATAAAAAAATAATTGCGACTAGTGCACTTATCATTAGTTGTACATTGATAATCTGTGTTATGTTTCCACCCATGATAACCTTTTTGCATAATTTGTGCTCTTTTTTTTCACAGGCGGTTCTGGCTGATGACCTGTCTCCATAGCTGAGAGAAGCCGAGGAGGAGTATTACTTTGTTCCCAACAACACTATTAATATTTCTAACTGTACTGATGAGAAAGAGGATGGCAGATTTATCCATTGTTTCTGAACTGTGTTCAGTCAAGTTTACATTGTCAATTTGTTACTAGTCACATGTTCAATAAGGTATTCTGCAAATAGAATTACAATACAGAAATGTTCTTGCTCTTTAGTGAAGTTCTGCCAATCATATGTTGGAAACCATTATCAAGGAAAACGAGTTGAACACTTTGTGGAAATTGTAATCTGTTTCTTGAACACCAGTGATTCTTCTAAGGATGATAATAACTGTTACCTGTAGGACAATGTCTCTATCACAGGTCTCCAAGTGTACAGTAAGGGGTATATCCTTAATAAAATCATTTTTGATGGTTAATTGTGCAGACTGATTGCTACGGCATGGACATGACAAATCAATGAACTAATTAAACACTTATCTGCTTTATGCCTCTGATTTTCCAGTCGACATTAGCAAGGAAAACGATATGCAATAATGCAGCTTTAACAGTATTGAGTCAAGTAACCGCTTTGTCAACTGTCTCACCAAGGCCTAACTCAAAGAATGTTTAGGCCAAGGTTATGCCCATCTACTCTATTGTTACTGGCCATACAGTGAGGGGGAAAAAAGTATTTGATCCCCTGCTGATTTTGTACGTTTGCCCACTGACAAAGAAATGATCAGTCTATACTTTTAATGGTAGGTTTATTTTAACAGTGAGAGACAGAATAACAACAACAAAATCCAGAAAAACACATGTCAAAAATGTTATAAATTGATTTGCATTTTAATGAGGGAAAGGTATTTGACCCCCTCTCAATCAGAAAGATTTCTGGCTCCCAGGTGTCTTTTATACAGGTAACAAGCTGAGATTAGGAGCACACTCTTAAAGGGAGTGCTCCTAATCTCAGCTTGTTACCTGTATAAAAGACACCTGTCCACAGAAGCAATCAATCAATCAGATTCCAAACTCCACCATGTCCAAGACCAAGGAGCTCTCCAAGGATGTCAGGGACAAGATTGTAGACCTACACAAGGCTGGAATGGGCTACAAGACCATCGCCAAG